TTGCTGTTTGTAGATTTATTGCCAAAACCTTTGTCTCCTTGCCAAACTCTTCCTGGACCACAAGACCTTGTACTATGATGTGGAACCGTTTCTCTTTTATGTGATGACTGAAGCTGACAACACCGGCTGCCATCTTGTTGGATATTTCTCCAAGGTGCTCAGTTAGTGAATCCAGCACACCATGAGCTTTGGTTAATGAGCATTTGATCATTTTGAAGTAATCAAATTATGCATCTGGATTTAGGAAAAGAACTCATTCCTGAACTACAACGTCTCCTGCATTCTGACCATGCCGCAGTACATGAGGCAGGGCTATGGCAAGATGCTGATTGATTTCAGTGAGTGCAGTGCTAGATCTAGATCAGTGTCATTTGTCCTTGTTGTTTTAAACATGTGATGTTAAAGTTGCCTGGATAGTATGCATTGTGTTATGTCACTTTTTTAAAGCTTAAAGAATGTGCTAGAATAGATACTTTATTATGTGATCAAGCACATGTTTGAATGCTGCTGGTCATTGAAGAGATGCAGATGTTAATGTGTGAATGCTGCTGTCTGCTCAGGTTATCTGCTGTCTAAAGTGGAGGAGAAGGTTGGTTCACCTGAGCGGCCTCTGTCTGATCTTGGCCTCATCAGTTACAGGAGCTACTGGAAAGAAGTGCTGCTGCGGTACCTGCACAACTTTCAGGGCAAAGAGATCTCCATCAAAGGTGATACACCCTATACACCGTTACAAGAGTGTAAGATCAAAAATGTGTTTTATTTTACTTTTGATTGAATGATTGTTTCACTGCATTGTACTATTGTTAATCTTTTTTTTTTAACTCTGCGCACCCGGTACTGGGTCCGTGACGTCATTTATTTGCGCATTCTTTAAATGTTAAAGGTCCGTACCTGCCCAATACCCCCATAAGTGGTTCCGTTCCTCTGATTACTGACATTTGCAGGAACCAACTAAATAATTACAGTAACCTACACCACACAGAACCTAAAACGTACACTTTCAAATTTGATTTGCAAAAAAAAGCGTCTCTTTTTGGGAGGGGTTTATTATAACACAGACAACATATACAATTGTTTTAATCACTTCCAACAGTGTTTTATGGCAGTTCAAAGGGTTTTCTTTAAAATCTCCAAACTTTTGCATTTACACCCCTGCATATGGATTTGGGTAGCTTTTAAATTGGGTATGCAAAATCCAGGTAAAAAGCCCAAAATAGCACTCGACATTCACAAGTTTAACCCTTGTGCGCTGTTCAAATTGACCACCTGTTTGTTATGCTCTTGGCTGTTTTTGGTCCATTCCAAAGCCATGACAGCATGTAATCATTTCTACGAAGTTTACACACCATACTCCACATAGAAGGCAGAAACTAAGCTTTTTAGCACTGTAACCAATGATCTACAGTAAAAATGACACATTTAACCTTTTCCCAACAGTGAAAACCAGCAACAATCAAAAATGCATGAACATATGATGTCATGACTTTGAGTGTATTGTTACATTTTTGAAGATCTACAAAGAATTTTCCCAAAGGCCCCAAACGTTCCTAAACGTGTCAAAAGAAGATTTGTCACCAAAAATAATTTCATTTGCTGAAACAGAGAAAGTTGTGGTGAAATTAAGACTCAATATCACCCCCGAGTGGTTGAAAACATCACAAACACCACACAAGTGTTAAGAGTGTAGAATGATCTGACATTATGACATAATGCTAACCTTTTAATTACAGGAATACATTTGAAAATGTATTAAAACATTTCTTTTGAATTGCAAACACCTGATGTTACAATATTACAGCAATGTTACAGTTTTACTGTGTTTTGAGTCAAACAAATTCAATCTTGGTGAGCATAAGAGACCTCTTTTATTTCTGAAAAATCATTTGCAGCTGGCAAAAACACTTTAGAGAAAAAAAATATAGTATTTAATGTACAAATAATGAAAATTTGCAATGTACAGGGTGGTTATAAAGATATAAATCCATCAACTAATGTTAACTGAAAGAATGGGAAACTGATACTCATATGCTCATGTGTCTCTTTCAGCAACAGTTCATATCTGAACACACTTTGAGCCGGTTTTATTTGTTTGATGTTAATTGCATTACATGTGGAGTTCTGGAATGTGTCACATCACATTTCACATTATATAAAGACTGACTCGTTTTTCTAGAAAGCACAGTAAATCATAGCAACTCTAAACTTTATGTGTATCCTAAACATTTAATATTGTCATTTTCCCCTAATTCATTTCTTCTTCTGTCATGTTTGAACACCTGTGAGCAGAAATCAGTCAAGAAACCGCAGTCAATCCTGTAGACATTGTCAGCACTTTACAGTCGCTCCAGATGCTGAAGTACTGGAAAGGGAAGCACCTGATCTTAAAAAGACAGGTAACTGCAGTCGAAAGACTGAAGTGATTTCAGCATGATTGTCATTGTTAAAATTACTGATATGTGTCATTTTCTACATGCTGCAATGATTTTTAGGATCTAATCGATGACTGGAAAACCAAAGAGGCTAAACGTGGGAGCAACAAGACTATTGACCCTACGTCCCTGAAGTGGAGTCCACCCAAAGGAACATAAATCAACCTTCTGCATGCTCTTCACTGTCTGCTGTAGTTTAGCAGGTCTTAGTAGAATAGCTCAAGTAAGTCCAAACTGTAGCGCCTTTGTCACATGATGCAGTTTAAACATTTCCAGTTACCTGAAATGTCCTGTACTAGTTTTTTAGAAACATGGTTGACACATTTCAACATTCGCTGCACTACTGCTGCATATTAGATGCCTGACCTGACCTAATATTTCCGGTAACGTCCCAGTGTTTGATGCTCAAACAGCAGTTGTTTTTAGCCACAGCAGAACGCACTGCTGATCTCTATTTTAGGGAATTTATAGTTTGACTTAAATATTTATGTGAAAAAACATTACAGTGTAACTGTAAACTGTAGTTTTATGAGCTAAGAAGCTCAACTTTTCTGATTTTAGTTCTTGTCTTTATTTTTAGTTCCTCCAAACCAGATATGTATTTTCAGCCCTGTTTGACATTAGCCAAAGTCATTGCACTAAGTAAAAAGATTATTTTATTAGCTCAAGCGAGACTAACTTGTATTTTGGAAGAGACACATTGCAGTGAATGTGGTATATTGATTCTTTATTGTCATATTATTTTTTCAAAAGACAAAAAACTATTAAGTGGAAGCTTCACTTAGTTTTTGAGAGCATGTCTTGGCTATATATTGCAGCAAACGCATCATTTGTGAATCGTCAGAGTAGCTTAATTTAGCTGACAGAATTACCATCATGCACCTGTAGACTCCACATAGTGGTTTTAACAGACTATACTATGATATGCCAGTAGCATGATTGCACTTGATTTTCTATGTTTCTCCTTCAAAATAAATTTGACCACTGTTTAATCCAATGAAGATGTGTGATTTCATGAGATATATATATAAATAGATACCCCTGGAAGGGACTGTCTACCCCAAAATTAGACTACACATTTACTCAAACACACAAATTAAAGTTTGGTAATAAAAACTGTTGATTTCAGTTGAACATTTATTAAAAATCTAATTTTTATGTTCCACAGGAGTAAAAGGCTCATATGACTCTGGACCATAAAAGTCATGTGTCATTTTAAAATTAATATTCATGTGTCATTTCTTAAATTAAGATTCTTACATCATCTGACAGCTGAAGTAAATAAGCTTTCTATTGGTTTACACTTTAATATGAGAGGACACTATTTCACCATGATCAGTGGTGGAAATACGACTGAAAATTCACACTCTAGTACCCTTACTTGCCTAAAAATGTAGTCTCTGTAGAGTAAAAGTGTCTGTTGTAAATATTACTCAAAGTATGAGTAAAAAGTAGTCCTCGTGGGTAGTGAGTATTACTTTGTGAAAAGCTGATGAGTTAACATACAATTTGTGCAAGGATGTGTACACGTAAAATTCGGTAGTGCAGTTAGTGATTGTTTAAAACTATTTGGTGATTTCAGTCATCATACATTAAACATCCGTCATCTTCTCATCGGTCTTTAATTTTTTAAACACCATTTTAAGGACAAAATTATTAGACCTTTTAAGCTGTTTTTTTCACTAGTCTACAGAACAAACCATCACTATACAATAGCTTGCCTAATTACCCTAACCTGCCTAGTTAATGTGATTAACCAACTTAAGCCTTTAAATGTCACTTTAAGCTGTATAGAAGTGTCTTGAAAAATATCTAGTCAAATATTATTTACTGTCATCATGGCAGAGATAAATAAACCAATTATTATAAATGAGTTATTAAAGCTTATATGTTTAAAAATGTGTTGAAAAACCTCTCTGTTAAACTGAAATTGAGGGAAAAAACAAACAAGGGGGCTAAAAATTCAGAGGGGTTAATTGTTCTGTCTTTAACTGTATATGTAAATGATTATATTATTATTTAAAATAATACGTTTTGTTACTTTTTGTTATTTGTAAATAAGTTGTTGCACGTTTAGATTATGAAGAACGATCCTGCATTTAATGCATCCTTTGCCCTATGGTCCTTCTCGCATTTTATTTACAATTACTTTAAAAGTGAATCCTTGCAAATAATGCGATATAACGCTACTGTATGCAAAGAATAAGCAGAAAAGTGTGTGTGTGTGTGTGTGTGTATATATATATATATATATATATATATATATATATATATATATATATATATATATATATATATATATATATATATATATATATATATATATATATGACATAAGACTTATCTCTTATACAACAACAAACTGTACCGGATCGGATGTCATTCCTTTGCTGTAAATGCTAACGCTCCCGGTTTTATCTGCAACCTCGCTGCGCGTGCACCCCGGTGCATCCTCAATGAAACAGTAACCATAGAAACAATAAACGTCTAACGCGTGATTCTTGGCAACATTTACAGGAAGTGGTGGGCGCTCGTAGTAGAGGAAGTAATACGTCACAAACATGCGTTTTCACAACACGGGCACTGGAAACGTCATTGTTTCTACTAGTCAGTCTTCTTGAACTAAAAACAACAGCATGCACAGTTTTAAGATAGAAATGTTATGAAAGACCTCTCTCGGATGTTAGTTCACGGTTTGAAGCCTCAGTTATAGTCTGTCATCGCTCTTGAGGACTGAGAGGTACGTGTCAGCGTCTTATCTAATGTTGACATTAACTGGCTGTACCAAACAATGGTGTTTACCAAAATGAGGCTGTCAAGTCTCCAACATAAAGAAAATATATGTTAAGATTCCTGTCGTGTTTTTTTTATTTTTATTTAATTCAGCTTTATTTGTATAGTGTTTTTACAATGTAGATTGTGTCAACGCAGCTTCACATAAAAGAACATAGTAAATTGAAACAGTGTAGTTCAGTTTTTAGTGTTTAATTTCAGTTCAGTTTAGCTCAGTTCAGTGTGGTTAATATTCACTACTTAAGAGTCCAAATACTGAAGAGCAAATTCATCGATGCGTTGCTCTACCGATCCCAAACCATGCAAGGGGTGCCACTGTTTACCTAGTTGAGGTAAAGTTGGTTTTATATATACACATTCGGTCTTTCTCCTTAATAATACAACTAATTTCGTTTTCGATAAAGTATTCTTTGCAAATATTAAACAGTGAAATCACATTAGCAGCCAATGACTATTAAAGTACTGCAGTGTTCACAGTCAAATAAATAAACATGCGATTTCCAGCCGAATATTCAAAGCACCATGGTAATCAATATTAGAAGGGTATATATGGAGGTCGGAGCCAGCTCTAAGTGGGCTATACAAATTCGGAGTTTTTATTTATTTATTTAATGTCTTGTACATGACACAGTCCAGAGTCCAGTATTGTGCTTTATGAATGTCTACACCTACCCCAACCCTAAGCCCAACCTCACAGTAACCTGTTGTGTTTTATAAATATCTGCTCCACATACACCACCTAAACCCAAACTACTTGTGGTGAAAGTCCCTCAAACGTGGAGGTCTCCAGGCTGCAGCAATACCTTCTTGAACAATATAGAGAGCATGTCACAAGTTGTCACTGAATGAATGTGGGAATATAAAACCAAATTGACCTCAGTGTTTAACCATGTAAGGCTTCAGATATGCAGTTCAACACAAACTGTCGTTATGATTCTTGGAATGTCCCTTTATCAAAACACTTGTTTTCCAAATTTGTAACTTCATTTTTTACTGGAACACAAAATGAAAATATATTTTAATGGAAGCTGGTTATTAAACTGTTGGAGATCATTGACTTCCACTGCATGCATATTTGAATAAGAAGCTGTACAAAATTATATTTGTGCTCATACATTAGTCAGTACTGAAGCCAAATCTGCAGCTTATCTTACAAAATATTTTGCGATAACAGTCAAAAATACACCCAAATTTATGTTATAGAAAATTATGAAATAATAATAATTGAATAAATTTTGTAGGTTGTATTTTTTGTAATATTTTTCTTGAGTTAAATTGTTTTATCTTTCAATTTCTAAATATGTTTAGTGACTAAAATATTATTTTAATAAATATATCTGTTTAATAAATCTGTTTTGTTCAAATGCACCAAAATACATTGTCTATACTCACTGAGAAATGGAGAAAAATATTCTATTTCAAAATGGGCTGTACTCGATTACGCTGAGCACTGTACATATGTCAATGTACAAATAGTTGCAGATGGATCTCCTGGTCACCAATGTGGCCGAGCTCCTCACGGCTGCTGTCCAGGAGGTGCTTCAGCTCATGGGTCAGGCTGTGTTAGAGTATCAGAAGGAGTTTGCCAAAACACGCCTGGAGAATCACCAACTCCAGCTGAAGCTCCGAGAACTCCAGGAGAGAAACACTAAAGCACCAGGTCAGAGATTTGTATTATAATTTATTATTTGCCTGTTCATCCTTCTATAAATAAATACTGTAGCCACAGTAGTGAATGATTCTTCCAAAAATATCTGTTTTCAGATGAAGCTTTTCCAAGAGATGAGTCTCATTTGAAAGAGGATCAAGCACAGGAAGATCTTATTTCTCATGAAGATTCAGCTGTGAGCGAGGAGATAAAGCTGACTGATGAACCTGCTCATATAAGCCTAGTTTTAGATGAGACTCCTGTAAATAGTCAACATCATTCTCTGCAAGCGACCTGTGAATATTCCTTCAATAATCAAAGACCCCTATCGAGAGTTAAGACCAGCTCTTCAAGTAGGATCTCCAACTCTTCATCTGGCAGCAGAAAGACTCCAGCGACGGAGACACCGCGGGCCTCAAACACAATCAAGCTGGAGTCTAAACCAGAGCCTCTGGAATGTCCTCTTACAGGAGATGCAGATCATGTGCCAACACCAGCTCCTGTTGTTGTTCCTGTGCAGGGCGCTGCTTTTGCAGAGGAACACATCCAGCAGCCGGCGTCCTCAATTCCTAACAACATCATCCACTTCAGCCAGCCTCATAAACCAGTGAGGTGTGCTTCTAAACACGTTCTGAGGTCGCGGGTGAAGAAAATGGTGGACGCTCAGGGTGGTCGTAGTGCCGTCAGCATCAGCACGAGCAGAGAAATGCTGCACAGCTGTCATTTGTGCGGGAAGACCTTTGCGTCACCCTCCAGCCTCGGTGCCCACTTTGTGTGCCATTCAAACGAGAGGCCTTTTGGCTGCAAATACTGTAAGTTCAGGTTCAGTCGTCTGGCCGATCTGAAGAAGCATGAGCAAATTCACACTGGAGAAAAGCCATATCACTGCTCCCTCTGTGGACGCCGCTTCAACCGCAGAGAGAATCTCAAAAGACACCTGAGGAAAGTTCATTATGGAGCAGCGCTGTGAGCTTTAGACTTCACAGGCTTCATCCTTTTCACTTTGCATGCTGATGTTGCATCTGAATGGCATTAATCAGTCTGACGAAAGTGTTCCTCACGTTAATATCATGCATTGCTGACTGTTTGCGTTGAACAAAGGTGAATTATGATCTGAAATATGACACACTGATGAGTTCAACTGGATTTTTGACATTGTTAGCATTTATAGCAGCATTCTTTTACTTGTTTTTTTAGCAAATGTTTTCTCTAGAAGTGCAAAAGTTATGCCAAACAAACATCATTGCTCAAAATTTGGGGTCGGCTTTAATGAGGGTTTCTGCAGCTTTTATCAAGACAAATTTAAAAATTTTAAAGACCCTTTTAAGACCATTCTAAATGAAACTTTAGACTTGTACAGGACTAAACACTAATGATTATTTCTAATGACCCGGTTAGGAGTGGATTCTTTTTTTCTTTTTTTTTTGCTCTCCATAAAAAAAATTTAATCAAATGTAATTATTTCCTAGCAACATATCTTAATGTGTCAAAACAAGACAATTATAGTTGCATACACTTTTTTTTTTATTGACTGTGTATTTATTGTGGAGATAGTTGCATAAATAAAAATATTTATTTGTTGGCTTTTGTTCCAAATCCCTGATTGGGTAGCTTTACTTGGACAGAGGAAAACTAAGACCTGTCTAAAATGATTTAGGACATACAACACAATATTTAATAAAAGACATCCTGTTTAATGATTTTGAAAATATTTTTCTCATTAAAGCTGCATTTTATTTCATAAAGAAACTGCATTAAACCATCATCATTCTGAATGATTATTACAATGTAATGCGCACTGGGTAGCACAATCGCCTCACAGCCAGAAGGTTGCTGGTTCGAGACCCGGCTGGGTCAGATGGCGTCTTGTGTGAAGTTTGCATGTTCTCCCTGTGTTTGCGTGGGTTTCCTCCTCTGTGGTAGGTGAATTGGGTAAGCTAAATTTTCTATAGTGTATGAGTGAGAGTGAATGGTGTTTTCCAGTGATGGGTTGCAGCTGGAAGGGCATCCGCTGTGTAAAACATATGCTGGATAAGTTGACTGTTCATTCCGCTGTGCGCCGAAAAAGAAGATGAATGAATGAATTTTACAATTTAAAATGACTTGGTTTAAATGTTTGAATATATTAGTGATTATCAAAGCTTAAAAAACACTTCTTAACGATCAGTGATTATATCAACACTTTAGGTGGAAATCATGATTCATAAGAGTTCAAATGCAGCATTTATCTGAAATATAAAGACGTAGAAAGACTTATGGAGAATTTTAGTATGGTCATGTTTTGGTCAATTAAGTGGATCTATTATGCAAAAATCACTTTTATATGGGGTTTAAACACAGTTGTGTAGCAACAGTCTATGTATGTAAAAGCTACTAATAGTAAAAAAAAATTTTTATAATCACATGATAAAAACTGCAGAAACACTTTGACAATGCTCCCTTTGTACATGTCAAGGGATGGGGAAAGCCTAGTGACAATATTTCCCTCATCAGTGTAGAACATTAGTACTGTTTTTGAATCTGCCACTATGCTGACACACAGGCATTTGTACGTCCACCCTCCTTTAAAAAGAAGCCTGGGAGCACAATCTCATTTGAATTTAAAGCAACAGTCACTGAAATGGCACAATTAGGATCAAATCCCAAAAGGGGCAGTTTCAAAGAGTTATAAAACATTATTTGTCGGGTATTTAAGGCTGATATTTCTCAGACACACTCTAGGACAGAGGTGTCCAAACCCAGTCCTGAAGGGCAGGTGTCCTGAAAAGTTTAGTTCCAACCACAATCAGACACACCTGACAAGCTAATCAAGCTCTTATTAGGCTTTCTGGAAACATCCTTGCATGTGTGTTGAGGAGGTTGGAGCTGAAATCTGCAGGACACCAGCAATGCTGGACTGAGTTTGGACACTCCTGCTTTAGGGACATCAGAGACTTATTTTACATCTAGTAAAAATCAGCATAATAGGTCCCCTTAAATACATTTCACTCATTGAATGGAAATATTTGTAAAAAGTTATTGACCCCAGGCCTTTGCATGGTTACGTTTTTTCCACTCATTTCTGATTCATTTTGTCTCGGTTTGACCTCATTGCTGACTTTACATGAACTGTTTTGACCCTGTTATCCTCATATTTGTTTTTAATTGTACAGTAATCTGTACACATGTCAGCTTGGTGCGAGATCACTGGTGTTACATATAAAACTGACAGATGTTTAAAAATGAAAATCTGCAAAATCAAAAACCGCTTCCATTTCATTGTTAACAGTTTACTTCAGCTTCTCTTTTTGGTCCATTCCACACGCCACTCATTCCAATCCAGTAGTGTCCGGTCTGTCTGCCATTTTGCTCGATCAAGTTCTGACAAAGAGAACCAGGATTACAAACATCAAAATAAATCTCCCTCTGTCTGCAAATAAAATGTTTACTCTTACCTTTCAGGAAAGTCTGGAAAATCTCATCAATCATCTTATGACTCTGTGATATTAACGCCCAGGGGTCTGAAAAATGAAATCCAGAGTCAAAGAAAACAACTCGATGTTAATCAGCACTGTTATTCAAAGAACAACAATTGGGCAGGTGCTCACCTTTAGTGTTGGAGAGCTGTTGGAGAACGGCAGGCAGAGAGGACTCATTGTGTAGCACTGCACTGACACACAAGGCCTGGCATACTGCCTTTATTTCATCATCAACTGATGCATCACTCCCCAGACAAACACACACGGCACCTGGCAAGACAAAACAGCCCATAAATGTGTCTGCAGTCTTGGCTGAGTAATAATTAAGCAAGAATTCACAGCATATTCATTCAAAATATTCGTTTTGTAGCATGTTACGCTTCGCTTAAACATTTAGCAGAATCAGGGAAGGTTTTCGTACCATTTTTGATTCCGATGAGATATGGTTTGCTGTTGTTCTTCAACGCTAGCTGCAGATCTCCTGGCCTTTGAGTCATAAAGAAATTATTTCAACAGTCACTAGTGTTTTTTTTAACCAAAATAAAAAAAGACTACTGATTTGGTGACTAATTAAAAGCAGATAAACAGACTCGTGAATGATGTCTCCAAGCCTCACGCCCAGCTTGATTGGAACTGTTTTTCTAAATGCTGCAGAGAAAAGAGCATTTACATTAGAGTATTAGGACAAACGATACATCCAACAAGAATAAGGCATTTAACCCTTGTGTGTCAATGCATCAAAAGTTACACAGAAGCTTTAGAATTCATTTTAGAGTTCAGAAAAAAACAGCAACTCACACATTTCTAAGTGTACAAATACTGTACAACATATACTTTGACACATGGATACACCAATATATTTATATGGAAATCATTATAATGTGCCAATAATTATATAAAAAAGTCCTTTTAAAGCCATTACAACAGAATGAAAGCCCATTATCAGAAAAGGTTGGGGTGTCAAATGTCTTGTATGTTCAACAGAGGGTGAAAAAAATCCTGACAGAAGTGACATTTATGGCTAAATTATCCTTTAAAGCAGGGTACTCAAACTTTTCACTCCAGTGACTCACGACCTCCATCATGCTCGTAAGTGGTTATAACCATACAAATATTGCACACAATGGTGCACACACACACCAATAGGAATTATATAAACATAAGCATATTGTCAACACAAAAAGAGCAACAGTCTTAAGCATAACCATATCTTTTTTTTTTTATAATTATTATTCATTTAATTTAATATTAACCTCACTTAGTGAGAATGGTGAGCCTAATGTTTATAGCACAAAACTATTCTTGGTTAAATATTATAGACTTTGAGGCACTTGGAGATCATCCTTTTTGTTCAGTCATGGCCTTAATTTTTAATGTATGTGAATGCCATAAAGGTGTCAAAGTTTAATATTGTACCGCAAAATCAATCTGCTGCAGTTAACGTTATTGCTGTGATGTTAATCAAGCATAATAACCCCAGGGCTCACGAATAAAATATAATAATTGATAAAATATGATAATTCTTAATAGTTGAATAAAATATATGAGACTTGTGGAAATCACCAAGCGCATTTATGAAGAGAAATCTTTAAATTTTAACAAAAACAAAAATTCTGTTTTGGTTTTTGTCATGATTATTTTTTTGTTTTTGTCAAAATCATTTTGCCAAGTATGATGTGATCCTGGATTAACATCTCTGTTGATCCTGGAACATCATTTTTGTTGGAAAATGTAATCCATACCTATTCCCTACCCCTAAACCCAACAATAACTGTAAATTATTCCCAAAATCCAAGGGGAAAAACAGCTGGATAGCAATCATGTAAAAGTGCATAAACCTAACCGTAAGCCAAAAACATAACATAAACGGTATCAGTAAACGGTAAAAAGTATCCCCTAATTCTGATTGATTGATTGCTTGAATGTTGTTCCACGAACAACCTAGATGTTAAATAAGAAACATGTCCTACTTGGTGAAATCAGGATGGCGTGCTGTTTCCATTAACACAGCCACAGTGGTCAAAAACAGTAACAGTTTAAGGACACACAAGGGTTAAATGGGATGAGTTTTTCAGGCCGTACACAAGAACACAGGCTCTCTCTGGTTGGCCTCGGCTGGACTGAGCACTTGACCGTGAAGCAGGTACTGATGCAGGACGATGGACAACCGAGCCTCATTGAGGGTTTCCATAACAACCGAACGTACAGCTTTGTAATTGGCAAACAGGTGGAGAACAGTGAACAGGAAGAACAGGATGAACGTCAACCTGCATGAAAGAGCACAAGTCGGTCCAGTATCCATTCATTTAGAGAGTTTACTGGAATATCTGGGTGGAACTCACAGTGGGTTATCGGTTACAAGCGGGATTAGAGCCAGGCTGACCAGCAGTCCTGCCAGGTTCACCAGGGTTTCCTTGACAGAACACAAAAGCAGAGAAATGATACACTTATACAACACAGAGACACATGTAATGACATTAATTTCCCACACTAAGAAGGAATTTTGCTGGAAAAGAAACAATCTTAGCACACAGGAGGAAGTTCACCTCACATATTTATCATCTGTTATACAAAGGGGGAAAACTGCATGCGAGTGGAGGAGCAAGTACAGTATTTATAGTTTACAAAACAGCATATAAACAGTAAACAAATCTTATTATATTCATATTACACTCATTCATAATATGAAGAACATCGTTTTATAATGGTTGCAAAGTAATCAAACAGCAAGCTATTTCCAATGCAGCCAAAGTGAACACTGACCTGGCTGCCATCTTTAGCAGAGATATCAGCCATGTTGTTTCTGCGAGCCTGATGGACAGTTAATGCAGCTCTTGTTGCTCCACCAGCAACTCCTACAATAGACTGGAAAGACAGACAAAGAGGAGGAAGTCTAGATATGCACCATCAAACAGATCATGACTAAGGTACAGACATGTTAATATTTAAAAGAAGAAGACGCTGTTAATATTTTACCTTAAATATGCCAGCAATGCAGACGATTAGAGTGAAAAAAGGAGGGAAATGAGGGGCCGCGATCTCAATGAACATCGCCACATCATTAAGAATATCAGCAAAGAGCCTGAAAGGACAATTACTTTAAGTATTTGTTATTATTATAT